GAATATAGAGGGAGGTGAAACGAAGTAACTGAAGAAAGAGGGGAAAAAAATGAAGATGAGGAGTGTAGTGCGAAACACAATTTCTCGTACGTTATTGTCGTTTATATGGTTCAAGAAAGAAGATTGGTTGCTTCTTTTGGTGAGTCTTCGGTCAGTCCAGCTTCTATTTATCGGCCGTAAGGAACCTATGTCTCAATATCACGTTGCCAATATGAAGGGAGGAGAGAGAGAGAGAGAGACGGATAGATAACGGTGAGAACGGATGAAGTAAAGGATCCTTGCACATGCCCAAGGCATCGGACTTGACTCTCCACTTTCACGAGACTTAAAGTTAGAGACTCTCTGTTTCTCTCTTACTCTTTCTCTCTTTTTTCTCTCTTTCTCTCTCTCTCTCTCTACTCTCTTTCGATGGCTGGCATTGCTGCTCGAATAGTTGGCTGGCCTGCTGGCTGACTGGCCGCTCGGGGTCCCGATTACTTGAAAAACCGGATTCCTCGTGTGCGAAACTGTGTTTCCCGTGTTTATGTAGCGATACACGACCGCCCCTACACAAAAGCAGCGACTCCTATGCACACGTGCATCCGCGATTTCTGTCTCGCGATATACCAATAGATTCACCGTGTACCGCCTTTTACTCCCTCTTGAGAGACGCTATTTTCCTTAAAGAAAACAAAAATCATCAATCCAAATTATATTAATGTTTCTAAATTCATAAAATTCAATTCTTGGAATGCTAGATAGAATTCTTATAGTTTTATTTATCCATAACTATAAGAATTCAGTAATATTTCACTGAAAAATTAGTAGAGTTCGTTTTACTGATTAAAACAGTGAAATCTGTTTTACCGATTAATGATAATATAAATTTAACTATTTAACAATGAAGTCTGTTTTACCAATTAATGGTAATGCAGATTTGCCTGTTTAACAGTGAAATCTGTTTTACCGATTAATGGTAATGCAGATTTTACAGTAAATCACTAACAATTCGAATGATTTTCAGTGAATGTGCCAGAATTTTAGTGAAAATGTCACTGAAATGAATCAGTTGGTTGCCTGCTATTTTATAAATAAAATATACACAAATATATTTTCATCTGATTTCGATAGTAAAAAAAAAAAATTTCTTGTCAGTTGCAAACAAAATTTTGTAAATATTTTTTCATAACAAATTAGTTAAATTTTAATTATAATTAGCAGAAGCTCGAAGTGGATAATTAATGTCTATTTAAAAGACGATTTCGTTATGGTTTCATGAAGATATAAAATTGCAGTAAAGATCGTTTTGCTGTACCAGGGCTAAATTAGTATTTCATACTTGATTAAGCCGTAACTATACATATTAATATAAATTATAATACATCAGTTAAAATAAGTTGTAATAATTTTTTTCTTTAAGGAAAATATGTTGCAAAAAACCATGATTAAATTTACTCGAGGAAGTTGTAACTTACAATATCAACTTTGTTGACAAAAAATTGAAATTAATTAATATTTTATACCTTGTCTTCGGGAAAATATAGTAAATTTTTTTTTTTTCATTTTAATATTATACTAAATCAATATTCTTGTTAATGAGCCATCTTCAAAAAAAAAAATTTAATTTCTTTGTATTAAATTTATTATAATTATTATAATAATAATTATTATTTAGTGTTTCTAATAATTATTTTTCCAAAGGTTTGAAGATTATTTTTTTTTTGTTAATTAAAACGTTATGAACAATTGACACACGATTATATCTCTAATCGAAGGGACACAAAAGAAAATATTTTCCGCGTAATTTACTTCTTTTACCGTTGAAATTGATTTGTTGTTTATATATATACGATTAAGATTCATTGGTGCAAGGAAAAAATAGGCAGAGATTTTTTTTTTATCTTATATAGATTCTTACTTCATCGCATCGAAGAAAAAGGGAATGTAAGTTGAGTAAAGTGGCTAGCAGACGATGAATTTTGGGCAAAGGCTTACTCTTCATCCGTTCATCTCTCGACTCTTTCCTCTCTTTTCTCGGTTCGATGAGCCAGATTTAATCCCTTTAGGCTGTCCGAGCACCTACTTCTGTTCTCTTCTACATATATATAAAGCTTTGTCGCGTAAAAATTTACAAAAATTTGTAAATTTTTTTACCAAAAAATCTTTTTTGAGAATTATTGATTAATCAGGGAAAAAGATATATCAGTAAAATGCAAGTATTACTATTTTTAAATTATAATGGAAATTTGTTTTAAAGCAAATATAAATCCGCGAGAGAATGATGAGGACAAATTTCGCGCAAGAGTATAGCGGAAATGTTTTATTTATTTATTTTTTTGTTTTGCAATCTGCATACAAATTTACAAATCTTCTGCGAGTCTCACTGGCACTCGCATATATGAAGGGGCAAATTGCCGGTTTCGCTTTTAATAACGAACCTTGCGAAGAGCCACACGTAAGTTCAGTTCAGTTTAGAGAATCCAATATGCGTTTCTTTAGCAGAGAGAAAGAGAAAAAGGCGGGTGTGTTCACGCGATATGCCGCCGCATTTGCGTTCACGACGCAGTTTTGCAATTTTTAACGGATGGTTTATAAATGCACAACTCGGAAAGAGCGCCAGTATTACTAAATCTACAATCATCGCGGTGCAAGGAACAACAACCGGCAATAATTTGCAAACAACTATATATATATATATATATACCCATATACTCCGATTTATATTTGTGTATGTGTTTCGCAAAAACTGCTCTGATTATTATTAAACAGAAATTGAAATGAGAAATTAAATTATTTAAATCAATATTTTGTTCCTAATTAGAAAATTTATTATCCAGTCGAATTATAATGGAAATAATTTCTTCATACTGATTTTAATTAATTTTAACCTGAAATACATAACCTATCATTTTGTGAGCGAAATTTACAGATTCCTATAAGTAGTTTATTTAACTGGAATGTTAATATTCTTTTAATTGTAAATTTGTGGGTATTCTTCCAAGAAAGATGCTCGAAGCACGAAGCTATTTTGTGTAATATATTATGTGTGGTATGACAGTTGAAACGATTGTCATTTGAAGCGAATGTGGCCCGTGGCAGTATTCCGGTTTTATCTTTTTTTACCTACGCGAGAAATAGGTATAAATGTATATACAATATGAAGCTTGAGATAGAGAAGGCGAGTGTGCCTATTCATTATAAATTATCTAAATAGCAGTGATTTCGGCGGACCGGCTGGCCGTTTGACGAGTAAGTGGCGGGTTCGAGAAGCTACGGTCGTTGCCAGTGGCTTTCAAGTTCCGACGTTCCTCTTTGAAATCATTCATTTGAAAAAATATCCCAACTTTTCCCATCTTGTGAACCACTGACATAGACGGCCCATGACCGACCCTAAAATTGGACTTATTACAACTTATAGAGCGCGATTTGAACGCTCCTCTCAATAACATACATTATCCCCAATCCATATGATTTAATGAAATCCCTCTAAACTCTCCACTTAAGCTCGAGTTCTTTTCGCGTATATATATCTCTATGTTATAGCTGCCTCTGTAGGTACGTGCCAAACGTTTACATTTATAGCTCCCACATATATTTAAAAAAAAAAAAATGGAGAAACGGTCCAAGAAATTTGATGCATATATTTTTTTGTCGAGGGGGGATTAGAAAACAACAAAGGCTGATTGCATTTATTCTTTTTTTCTAGGAATTATTTTTACTACTCCATTTTTGGTCTTGATCGTTTGCGTTAAGATATATATATATATGAAATGGGAATGAATTCCTTCCAAGAAAAATATGGAATACAAGAAGAAGAACTTTAGCTCTCCAATCACTCTCCAAACTCAAAAGCCGAAAGCCAAATGCGAGCGATAAAATACAATTAAAGCTAAAGACTGAACCCCCTCTCGCTTCTACGGCTGATCCCCCCTCACGCCTTGTAACCCCCCTTGCTAGCTGATGAGGTGACAACCCATAATTATACAGACCGCTTTCTGTCTGGCTTTGACTGCAGTGGCATGCAGGAGATCTCTTCGAGATGGGGGCTTCCATCATCCTATACGCGAAATCTCCACCGCATTATCTTCTCCTGTTTTTTCGTCCTTTCTTCTTATATACCATCTCGCAACCAAGATGGACGTTTTGGCATAGTAGTCGATAGTGTCAAGAGTTCAAATTTCTTATTCCATATCAAAAATTATAGTAATTTGTATTTTTTTTTTTCTAAATTATTCCTTGCGGTATATATGCAAGGAATTTATTAAGGGATATATAAGATTGAAAAAGTTGAGATAACACGAGGAAGAATTGAATTTTCGACGCCCCTCACACACGCTTCCTTCTTGTATAGAGGCAGAATATACATATATATATATATATACGATAGGCGGACCGCGGGAGGAGCATTTCCGGATTTCAGTGAAATCGGGCGGTTGCAAACCGGGGATAAAGAGCGCTTTTGTGGACTTGATGGATCGCCAGCCGCTTAACCAAATATCAATCACAAAGCGCGCAGTCTCTGCATATAATCTGCACGCTGATTTTGAAACCGGCGCGCGCGTGTTTGCCAGTCGACTTAGCTGTGATGTGCAAGCTTCGCTTTTGGTGATGGATCCGCAAAAGGCGAAAGTATATATATCTAATAATAAACGATGGAAAAAAAAGGGAGAAAGAAATAGAAAGGAGGGAAAGAGAGAGGAATCAAATCAAAAAGTCTTTGCCGCGTGCTAGGAATATGAGAGTTCGATTTGTGATTCTTATGATGAAAGTTGTCATTTATCCATAGAAGATTCGCGGTGATAATGTATGCGAAGACACGTTTTCTGATCGACATTCCCTTTCGTAAACAGACATGCGATATCACGACTGTGTCATTTTTCATAACGTATATATCTCGATTTCTTGACAACAATTTTTTTTAAAAAGTTTCGAATTGAATCTTATATATCTAATCGAAATTACTGTAGATAAAAAAATATATATAGTTTGAATTTTAATTTAAAATTTTTTTTTGTTTACAGACATGCCACGAATGGAGAAATCTCCCTTGCTGGCGAACGGATATAATCATCCACCGACGCACCTCACCCAAATGCAGTTCATGCAACTTGGCCATCCAATTGCCGGTCATGCCATTCTGTCATCGGCGAGCTTATCTCAGCAACTTCATTCTCGTGCAGAGCAGGGCCTTAAGGTCAATCCGAATATACCCATGGAAGTATTTGCAAGGTAAGTCGACAATTAGGCACTAAAAATTAATTCTATTTGTAAATAAAATTTTCCCTTTCTCCATTTGTCAAAAAGATGAGAATAGATATATATCGTATTGATGATCGCGCGCGATAAATGTTGGGCTAAAATTTTAACGACGAGGAGAATCGTAAACGTCTTCGCAGGATATGGTTATGGTAGTGTGTGTATATATACGTATTGAGAAATTGGATTTATTTGTTTTAAGTTCTTTGTTCAGTCAACGTTAAGGCTAACACACTGGGCAAGAAGGGTCGTGTAAGTTCAGGGGGCGCTGTGAGGCGAGGCCAAAAGAATACAACTTTAAGAGGATTTCAAGAGACTGCGAAGCCGTGGAAATCCGAAGGGGTCTTGGTAGCGCTTGATCTCTCTTTCTCTTTTTGCTTCTAAGTCTGTTTTCTTACATGTTCCTTGCTCTTGGCTCATTTACGCGGGGTTAGGTTACCTTTTCACTGACAAGGGGAAAGGACAACTCGATCCTTTTTTTTCCAACTCTCAGAATTTATACTTTTTTTTTCGTTTTAACCCTCTGACTGTTTTCATTTAAAATCGTTTTTATTTGGACTGAATTAGAAGGCTTAGTACAATTTCTTTATTCTTCGGCTCTTTCAAAATGATTCAAGATGGACTCGAATTTACAGTGTGTCACGCGCTTTGCTATTTGTGTGAATTTCAACATGTACGCGCGCTTACGTATACAATAATACGAAGAAGGCGGCACCGCACGTTCCGCATTATGATTTCAGCGCTTTGCTTTTAATTAAAATGCAAATCTATCGCTCCAGAGAAGCGAGAGATCGGGAGGTAAGACGGATTACGTCTGGGGGCGCCACGACAAACACCGGAATATGATTAATTCAACGCAACCCCATCCTGCCTCACTAACACACAAATAATGTTACCATCGCTATCGTCAACTGGATTTTGCCTTTCCTTTTGCAATATGATAGTCCAGTGTCCATTTGCCCTTTTCGATACTTGTTATTTACACAAGGTAAACAGATTCTAATTTTCAAATCCTCTTTTTTCCCAGTAAGATTTTAATAAAAATGAATCATTTTTATCGATTAATTTCAACTTTATATTAAATTTATAGAAGCAAAAGCAGTATTTTTTTTAGGGAAGAAAATCGTGTAAACAGTCTTAATGATCATCCTCGACTTCTTATTACAGATCAATGACACTCATACCCGCTCTTGACATTTTTTTAATCAAAGGACTTCAAAGTACTCTCTCTCTCCTCGGCTGACAGCCTAGTCGAGACGATCGAATCAAAGGATACATCCGAAAGATGAGACTAAATACCGAAGAGATTCTTAATCATCTGCTGACTCGTTTCGTCTGCATTACTTGCGCCGTGTAAAAGGCACCTTAATTACTGATCCGGCATATAATCAATGTCCCCTCTATTTATCTAAATTCTTTATCATCTCAATCTTTCTAATGTTGTTCCTATAATTATTACATTCATCTTTTTTAATTTTCTCTATTTAAATTTTTTTTCAGGTCCGTTGGTGGTTTGACGTTGGACAACTGCAGGGGACTTTACGAGGACTTCGCCAAACATTATGAAAGGTAGGAAGCAAATTTTTCAAAAATAAATATATCTTTAAATAGTATTAATTTTTGGCTGATGTGGGTGGCTTTTTTTTCTCTCGATTTTACCGAGAAAAAAAAATTGATGCGATCAAGCCAAAAATGTAAACAGCACTATGCGTATATATACGGGAATGACATCGATAGACTTCCGATAAATCAGCATTACCGTCAACATCGAGTTTCCAGTTGCACGGCAAGTTGAGTCCACGTCCTGACGCACTAATTCCAACATGATTTGTATTGTGCGGGGAAAACCCTGCGACATCCACAATCATCCCCGTGGCTTTCTGTCCTTCGTGTGTGCATCGCGGGTCACGGGGTTTCCCGTGATCCTGACCACTTGTCACTTCACGGAACGCAGATCATTGTCGCGACGTGCTCGTCCATCATTCTGGGATTAAAGCATTTGAAACACGTGACACTAGCCTCGCTCTCATTTTTTCTAAACAATTTAAAATTTTTCAATAATATTTATTTCTTTCAACGTTGTTTTATAAGTGGAATTTGATACTATTTTTCCCTAAGGATAGTGAGTCCCACCGCTGTCACTGACAACGAAAACTTTTTATATAATGAATAGAAAAACATAGTTACTAATGTTTTGAACATTTACCAAAGCAAACACATCATTTAAGGGAAAAATAACCGAGGGTTAAGATTGTCAAGCAACATAAAGGTATTATAAATAAAGTGAGAGTGAGTTGGCAAATTCAAAAGTCGAAAACGCAAAAGGGGTGAAAGTTGACACTTGGGTCAAAATGTAATTTCCAATTCAAAGGCAATGACCACTGGCAAGCGTCCTCCTCACTCCTGCTTTCTCTATTTGCTTTAATACCCCCGCGCGCGTTGGCTTCGTCAACCGGACAAACGCGTATTGTGATTTTAGCCTTTGACTGGTCGCCGCGTTCGATGGATCGGTATAGGAGGGTGGGTCGTACGATATGAGTAAAAGGGGTGCGAAGGGATGGACGAATGAACACCGTGAATATTCATGCGAAGAGCCCTAGACGAAATCGGACTTGTTGCGACTGACACTGATGTAAACCTTTGTTTATCCCGCTTTCCTCCCCCTCTTATATACACCACCCACTCTCAAATCAACCTCCCTATACCAAACCCTACGGACTCATCGGTCGAGGGGTATAACCCACTATTTAACTGCGAGTTAAATTCTGATTAATTGTCGGTCCTGGGGGTTATTAATTGTTTGTCCTTTTGATTTTACAAGCAACCGGAAACCCGCGTCAGTTGAAACGATCCTTTTCCCTTGATTTTGGGATATTCGCTCGGGTTTCTTCACTACTCTAATCCCGATGATTTGTTCTTGTTAATCCAGTCGAACCCCTTTTGCCTTTGTATATACATATATATATATACGAAACAGAATCGCGAGCCCCGTTATTTATGACGTTTGCCTTATTCGCGAGAAGTTCATTTAATTAAAGTTCCCGGACAACAGCGGCTTCATTAAATTCAGATTCACGACACCGTGATATCTAAACAAATCGCTGGATAATCGAGAATAATGTTTCTTCTTATATGTTTAGCTTTAGTTAAAATTGTTTGAAATTTTCAATAGCAAAAGATAGATAAAATTATGCAGCACCTGAGTTAATTTTAACCTCTAAACCTGCTACAAAAGAAATTCACAAAAATTTGAAAATTTTTTTTTTTTTATATAAAATTTTGTATAAATGAGATGCTGTAACTAATATTAATGGCACGTCTCTTGGTAGAATGCTCGCATATCAATGTACGACTTGGCTTTCTGGGCTTTAAAATTACCTTAGTCATTCTCGCATAATTCTCGCGCATTGTCGTTTATCCCTCCCTACCTCCAAACCTTCATTTTCTCTTATCTGTATCACCCTTCGAGTCCGCAGTCTCTCCCTCTTTTACTTGACAGTTTCTTTACTTTCTCTCAGTGTGTCCATATTCTATTTTCAGAATGTCATTAATTACTTTAGCGGTAGCGTCATCAAGTTGTCTTATCGTGAAAGACATCTGCTAGTTGGAAAATAATATTCATAAAAGTTGATTCCCTTTTATAGACTCTTTTTTTTACAATCTTTATATCAATTTTACCATACATTTGAAGAAAATACGTAAGAATTAACAGCGTCAAAAATAATATCGAAAATTGAATGAAAGAAATTTTTTAAAATATTGAGGAGAGAAATAGAATAACAATTTATATGAATTTAAGTGTGAAGAGATGCGGATACGCACTAAAGTTGAATATATATGTCGACACGGTGGCTTATACGGTAGGGCCGTACGGCACACGGGAAATGCAGTTAATTTCATTCGGCGATCGCCCGTTTGATAACGCGGCAAGCGGAGTCTACTATCAGCCGCGACGCTAATTGCGTTCAAACGAACTGTCGGCACTGACACGCACACCTTAGCATAACACGCTATACATTTTAAAACCTACGTGGACTCATGTTTATACGCTTGAGCTCAAGCCGTGAAGCAAAAAAAAGAAAAAAAAATCCAACATATACGTCCACCGCATTATGATTAATACACAACAAGCAAGCATTCGACTTTTAACTCTCGTCACCGTTCACAACCTGATTTAGTCATTACCATCATCCCTTATCAAAAGACAAAAAAAGAAAAAATTAAAATCCTCTTTAATCCCCGTATACTCTTTATCATAAAATGGCCTATTAGGACAAAAACTTGTTTTGCATATTTTATTAATGGATATATTTTGATATCTTGATTTTTTAAACTGTTTCTAAATATAATACATAGGATTATACGATACATCGGAAGTATTAATTTGCTATTTATAAAAAGATTTTTAAACTTTTGTAAATACTAATTCAAATTAAGAGAGTACAAAATAATAATTAAAAAAAAATTTTTAATTACTGTAATTAATATAAATCTATGGCGTTATAATAAGTTATATAGGGCAAATTTAGCAAACATCTGTTTACTCTTGATTTTTCAAAAATTCCATCTTCATAAGAAAAGAAAATTATTGTGAAGAGATAATATTAGCCTCAAGTTTAGTTTAGCTACAACAACAACGCCTCTTTTACATTCACAATCCATATAATCATACCGCACACTTTGTATAGACCATAGTTTATATTCAAGACAACAAAGTAGAGTATAAAAAGAAGTCAATTTCGTTGTTTTTTTCTATATATCTATATATAATGAATCTCTTCACGCAATTCGCAAATTAACTCGAGAATTTTGAATACAAATTGTTAAAATTTATCCCTCATCGATTATGCAAAATTTGTCGTGACCAGTGGACATCACATGCAACAGGCCTTAAAAAATGGGAGCGCATTTAAAAGTAGTAGTTTAGAAATTTTCCAGGCTCCACACGAAATTTATATATTCTTAATAATTAGTGCGGTCGTGTTTTTTTTTTTTCTTTTTTTTTTTTTTGGCGCATTGCAAAATTCTTTGTCTGGACTGCAGCCAAAAGAGGAACTATGAACGATTCGCGTGCGAGACACAAGATTTTTTGACCGAATCATCATTTTTTTTATGATTTATCGCGCGACAAGGGTGCCATAAGGTTGAAACCTTCCTCGAATCGATTATCATCATCATCATTTTGAAAAAAATTTTAGTCTATCCTTTCGAGGAAACAGAGGTATCCTGTCTGCGATTCCGATTACGTCATATAATCGTTGATCATTTATTGATTGATGCCAAATCATTTCTTATTTTTCCTGATCAATTAGATGATAATCTTTTGTTGAAATTCAAAATTAGTTGGTTATTTATAGCTAGTGTAATAAAATTACTTTTTTTTACTCGAGTAAAGGGGAGAAATTGGATAGATGTGTCTTTCTTTTTTGTACTCTCGCGTTAAATCAGAGCGATTGAAGAAGTCTACGGGGCAATGGCGCGGGACAGATTAATGTTCGTAGCTAATGAAAAGTGATATAAAACCAGGACCGGTAGCTCGGGCGGCTTCGTGAGGTGAGCGTTAACGCACTTGTTACATCAACGGTAAATCTTTCAACTCGTAAACTTCTCTCAGGGTGCAAGCCCAACGACTTGCCTCCCAGCATCACGACAGGACGTCCTAGTTCATCTTTGCACCACTGTTTATTTTCTTTCTTTTACCGCCAACAATAGACGCGGATAGGCTCTCATCGTAAGCGCCACCTGAAAACCCCATATCTCTCTCTCTCTCTCAGAAAATATTTTTTTTATTATTTATTTTGTTAATTGCAAAATTAGTATACTTTTTTTCGAACAAAATAAGATATTAACGATAGGTAAACATTGTCTAAATGGAGTGACAGTTGAAAATTAAAAGATAACAAGGTGTGATTTTCATTAATAAGAAAAAAAAAAAAAATGTTCGTGGTAAAAATTTGACGTTTCCGGATGATTTGCGGTGTGACGACTTTTAACGAGAAAGGGAGGAAGAGTCGACAAGCAAATTATGCGAGCTATGCGAAGGAAAGTCTTGTTGTGCCAGTGTGCATTATTAGAGCACGTCACTTTAGTAACAAGGCGTCGAGTAAACTTGGGCACGCGACGTGGCAGCAACGTCTATACATATATATATATACACCATATGAGCGAAAGTAGAACATTTTTCTTAAAGTGACAAAACGATAATTAATTAAAAACATAGACCCACAGTCCCACCCACTAAACACTAATGTACCGTGAAATTTTCTTCTTCTCTCATTAGTGACGGCATCATCTTCGATTTCTCATTATATATATTTTCGAGAAAAAAAAAAATATCGCACTAAAAAACATCTGACTTTCCGACTTATTTTCCGGTTCCGTGCCTTAATGAGCTTTAAGAAATGAATAGATGTAAATTACACGATACACTTGTTTTTATCATGTTTATCTCGTGATTATTATTACTCCTAAAGTCTTATCAAGATGGCTTCCTTATTTCCATTAATGCAAATTATCATTTCTTCAAGGAATATAATCACCTTGAGATTGTATCAAGTAGAATATAGGAA